TGTGTCACCTTGTGTGTGAAACAAAGAAAGAAAAAAAAAGCCTGATGACTGCAAGTTCATCAGAATGAGCCTTCAAAATGATCAGTCATCAAAATGCTGATGACTGGACTAATCTTTTCACACAGAAATGCCAACTGCTGCAAGACTCGTCAATCATCAACTTCAGCGATTTCGTCCTGAGGGAACGAAATGGCCGGTCACATTTGCAGCTACTGATATACAAAGGATGATAATAGACTGTTTATTGCAAATCGGGCAGGCTTTCAAAACCCAAGAATTCACATGACAGACATTGAGAAAAGAAGTTTGACTTCAGTGACAAAAAGAGCCACTTCCTTAACCTAGCCCAATAGGCATCCAGGAAACTTAATGCCATACGGCGCATCTCACACCTTGATACCAGGGGCTGCTAAACTTTTACATGAAGCACAAGTTCGCTCATCAAGATTATGCACCCCCTTTACTGGATCGCCTACCCCCCCCCCTCCCCACACCCCATCATTCATCAGACTTATGGACAAAGTTGAGAGCCGTGCAAGCAGGCTCATCTCTAGTCTTGACCAAGTCTGGTGGGAACGGTCTGAGCAACAGAGCCTGCAACACCGCTGTGACACTGGTGGTCTTACTGGGATGTACAAGGCCAACATTCTCAAAGTTCCGCACCTGGCCCAACTCCATGTACAACCAGTAGTTGTCACCCGTAGCACTAGGCTCTCAATCTTCAACATTCTCAGAACATCAGTGATCATTTATTCCTAGGCCGACTCGAATCTGGAACTTGTTTGCTCAACAGGTTGATACACAGGAGATCAGGTCAACTGACCACATGAAGTCTCTGGCACACAGTTGGCTACAGGCGCAACCTGTTCCTTATTGTTCCATAAGCTTTATACATTAACAACATTATTCCTATTGATACATATAACAGGCTCACGAAATAAATGAGCCTGTTATATTTAAACCTACTCTAGACGAAGGTTTCAACCGAGCTGAGGTATAACAGCAACTGTTGCTTTGCAGTTTCACCAAGTATGCCATTTGACAGGCCTTGCGTATCCTATTTTTATGTATTTATTTTTAACTAAAACCAGAGTACACACATACGTTAGGCTTATATTGAGCGCTCCCCCCTTCAAAGTCGATCTACTGACCTCCCACAGGATGCTACCCCACCCACAACAGCTGGGTAACTCCTGGATACCTGTTTACTGTTAGGTGAACAGAGGCATTATAAGTGTACGGAAACCATGCCAAATCATTCCCGTCCTACCTGGGATTTACATACTGTACTTTCGGATTATTTCTTTAAGACATTTCACCAACTTTAAATTCAATGCAAGATTTTGTGCTGGCCCTAAGAATTTCCTAAAATGTTATGCATCTTTAAGAATTTGTTTTAAATAGTACAATTACCAAAATCTATTTACACCATTTACATCATCACTTCTACAGCACATTCAATTTATGCTCACTGCATTAGAATAATCTGGAGCCCAGTACTCAACAGCAGCACTAAACTCAAATTTATTAATCATTGAGCCATTTCAAAGTAGAGAACGTGCCTGTAGCCTTAGGTTAATTTTTTTTTTTAAATTTTAACCTCACTATAAGCAGAACTAAGTTACCAGTTCACCAATTTTTAAACTATTTCCATTAAGACTTCAAACCCAGGTATAAAACTATCTTAGGAAGTAACAAGCCTGAAGCCTGAAGTCACTTACGGCATATTCGCTGAAGCGGTGATAGAGCGTGCCCATGTCGAAGTACAGAAGACGGTCCACAGTGGCTCGGGTCTTGGGATCACTAGGGTAGAGGGTGTTGTCCTTCCCGTACTGAGTGGCAAGGTATGTGCAGATGGGGCGGCTGGAAAATATAAATGTAATAAGCCAAAGACTTCTTACATAAGTTTAACCTCTTAAGAAGTTTTAACAAAGTTATTGATCTTCATAAATACTATACCGGCATAATAAACGCTAAAGGAAATTAGCAATTAATAGTGCCAAAGTATTCCGCGAAAATTGCTTAATTTAAAATAAGACGGGCATTGTACAGCTGCACGCTTGTCCGCTTCTGCCTAATTGACATCAGACTATTACCTTCCTAAAATATCCACCAGTAGGTGCAGAAAATTAAAATGAACAGTAGGAAACGGTAGGGGGTGGGGGGGGGGGGGGTCCATGATCTTCAAGGCAATATTCCCGTCACTAACCTTTCCCAGAGGATGAAATCACCATCGACCAGGGTGGGAACGGTATGCTGCGGGTTTATTGCCACAAACTCAGGCTTCAGCTGCTCTCCGGCCATCAGATTAACCTCCTTCAGGTTGAGGTCCACGCCGACAGCCTTGGCCGTCAGCAACACAGACCGACAAGGACCAGACATAGGCAAGTAGTAGAAGTCTACGGTCATTTTGCTTCTGGAAATTTATGAACAAGATTAAACATTACTTTGAATTATATATGAACAAAGTCATAAAATTATAATTGACTATACATTTAGTACAAATATGACTTTGTATGCAGACGAAGAGTCACAATAACGTGGCTGAAATATGTTGGCCAAACCACACACTAGAAAGTGAAGGGACGACGTCGTTTCGGTCTGTCCTGGACCATTCTTTAGTCGATTGTGACTAGAGTTGACAATTTACTTGAGAATGGTCCAGGACGGACCAAAACGTCGTCGTCCCTTCACTTTCTAATGTGGTTTGGTCAACATGACTTCGTAGGTATGGAATGCCATAACAGTTTATGATTAAATAAGATAATTGAAACAAATAAAATTTATTAAAACGCCTAATTATTGATTATACAAAAGGGCACTAAACTCTGCCACTCAGAATATCTGATCAGCCAAAAGAAACTACGAAAGAAGAATTGCCTAAAACGAAGGTAAATCCAAAAGTAGGGTACCACACGGGTCCATTTTGGCACCTACCTTTTTTTGTCATATACTGTACATATGACATGTGAGAATATTACAAACCTCATCATATTTACAGATAACATTTATGGTAAAGTGGGAAATGATCATTGATATTGAAGCCTTACAAAAGAACATGAACTAGCGGTCCCTGTGGCATAGTGGTAAAGCACTCGCCCGACATTTCGCCATCGCTTTGGCCTAGGTTCGTATCATGGCCGGGGAGGACTGACCGGGTGCCAATCCTTAACTGTAGCCTCTGTTCACCCAGCAGTGAATGTTTACCGGGATATTAAAAGATTTGGTGGGTCATATTCTGGGGAAAAAATCTGGATTAATGATCAATATTCTCCACTAATCAGCCAATGCCCGAAACTATGCATGCTAGTGGCTTTACAAGAAAGTAAGAACTCTCGCGTGTGAGTAATCTTATAATTATAATATTATATTACATGATATAATATATTTTTATATTTTATTTAATAAGAGTACCACCTCTGGTTGGAAGAAGGGGACCCTTAGCCTCAGGAAACTACACACAACGCTTAGAGGGATTTTTTAGGCCCTCTCTAATACAGTATTATAATACAATACAATAATATATATTTGTTTGTAGGGACTCAGCCTCGTAGAAGAAAAAGAGTATTCTGAGAAGACCTTGTGGATTCTCACTGAACACTGATATTTTCTTCTACCGCCCCTATTTTTCTTAAAATTTTATTTTATTTTATTACATTATACAGTTTACAGAAAACACACACACAACAATCAATGTTTGAAGACTTCACCCAGCTCTCTGGAGGTCGGGTGCATGCCCAAGATAAAGCATGCATTTCCTCTCGACTGCGACACTGAGGCGCTGGAACAGGAAACTGGCCGCGCTCGAATCTTTAGTTTTCCCAATGAGTTCCTCACCCACCTCCTTTAGGAACTTAAGTGCACATTTACTCCCAGATGCCCAGAGTCTCAGAGCCTATCGTCACGAACCTGTAACAACGTTCTAGGTCCCTGTACTTGTTAGTTTTCTGGGTCTCCCTGAAGGTGGCTGGCCTGCCTCCCTCAGCTATACTGTGAGGTAGACATGTATCAGCACACATGTAGTCCCACTCTACCTGCTTACCATCCCTCCATGGCATCAGGGCGACTCCGTCTGGGCGTTTGTTATTGTCAGATCGGCACAACTGAGGTTCCCTTTGTTCTGGACACCCAGCTGTAGCCAAACTTCTCTTGATGTCATTGACTGGTTCATGTCTGGCAATCTTTCCCTGTGTCTTACGACAGATTAGACCATTGCTGCCGTATTGGTCCGCCAGCGCATAGCCTCAAATACACCGGTGTTAGGTGGAGAGGGGGAGGGCGGCAGCATGGGACAGGGCAACACCAATACTTAGGGCCCGATGGTCCAGGCGGGTGCCTAAGGCGGAATTAGGGACAGCCAACAGGAAGTCCCCGGCATGGGGAGCTTGCACAGCTAGGAGATGCACTTTGTCCTCTGACGCTGCCTCCAGCAATGCTGTGGCAATATTCTCCACTATGGGGCTGTCCCATTTGGCCTGTTTGCAGTAGTTTGGAAAAATTGGTCGAGGGTGAGGGTTGGCAAGATTGTCCCACTGGCCGGCCCCGTCCGCGAATTTGGGATTATGAATCCCAGTGGAGTCTTAGGTATTCTGGTAGCATTTCATTCACCAATTTGCCTGTAGCACTGGTCGAGGATAAGAAAGCCGGCAATGCTGTGTCACCTTACGAACCCATATATAATATATATTAAAGAGTGCGCGTAAATAACTGCAAATGGTCAGAAGACTGGCAAATGAGTTTTAGTATCAACAAATGCAACACCCTGCATGTGGGGCTTAACCCATACCACGTCTACCAAATTACTAGCATTACATCACAACAGATTGAAGAAAAGGGACTTGATTCAAGCTCCACCCCTCATTAAAGGTTGCACAACAGGTGGGTGCAGCAATCAGAAAAGCTAACCAAACTCTTGGTATAAGCAAGTGTACTTTTAACTACAGTATTAGAAAAAGTAATGGTTCAAGTATATGCATATAATGGTGCTCCCTTATTTGGATTACTGTATCCAAGCATGGAGACCTGATTTTTAGAAGGACAGCTTCCCTGGAGAAGGTGCAACACCGGGCAACAAAATTCATTCCAGAGTAAAAATCATCTCTCGTATGATGAACACTAAGGCCAGAGGGCTAACAGCAAACCAGGCATGACAGGGCGGGAAGTGAACTACCAGGGCAAGTGCCAAGGCATTACAACTATTTAACACTTCCAAGGGGATAAGGATTTGGGATGGGACGGGGGAAATTATTGGTGCCCAACCACATGGACGGTCGGGGATTGAACGCCGACCTACATGAAGCGAGACCATCACTACCAAGTGGTTGGACTCCTGACATGGCAGATCTCATTAACACTTAAAATACTGACCAAGTTAAATGTTGAGCTGGATATTTTCTTCAGAAAATAGATTTAACACAAACAAGGAGCAACGGTTTCAAACAAGCCACAATGTATGACTGAGAACAGATGCTTTTTCACCCACAGGTTATTTAACTCGTGGAACCGCCTACCCACCGTAACTGCTAAAATTGCGCAGTTTCAAAATATACATGGAAAAGATCAAGGCAAAGGCAAATAGGGAGGGGACCTTCGACAAGCCGCCTGCTTCCTGTCCTCGTCGAGGCCACTAGTGTTAGTGGCCCTCAGGTAAATAAAGACAGTAAAGTATGCACCTCACTACAGCTATATAATACATCAGTTTCATGGAGTTTGGCCTTGCATTGTCTAAGCTAACCAACTTCCTCCCACACAACTTTCTTTCCTACTCAAGAATTCAATTGAATTTATTATGCACCCCATACCCATCCCGTGGGCGGTGGTGTAAAGGATTACAGAGGCACAATCGGTTCAGGAACTGAACCCTCTAGTTCGTTTAGCTAAGCAAATAAACTTGACGCTAGTTACAAAATTATTAATGTTATATATACATGTACACATTTATTTATTTAGTTTGCATACATACTTATGTATACATGTACATATATACATACACTTACATATTTAATCACCCACACAAATACACACCAATAATCTTTTGTCACAAGTGATTCAACAAGAGGCTCACAACAGTCACTATATAAGGCACTTTACATCTATGACAAGTCCAAACAAATATTGTCCAGTTATTTCAGTCCAGTCAAATCTGCCTCCTTTTTCCCCTTCCACAGTTTTGTGCATGCCAACACCATCTAATATAAATGCAGCCATCATACTATAGTACTGAAGGATAAATTATTACTTCCCAAAATTTGTAAACATTAACATGGTGAAAATTTTAAAAGTTTCTCTGAACATGAATCCTGTAGGCAATGCTGCTGCTTGTTGATAGTAATATGTGCAGTTTGCATAGGCTTAAATATTACAAATACCATGGGCAAATGCGTCCGAAACAACAATTATTTTTGTTTTTTTGTTTTTACTAGGAGTCACCAATATGCCTTTACATGGCCATCTCCTTGCCACAATCTGGGCCCTACCAATCCCACCACATCACACAGTTTAATACTGTAAAACTATTAAACTGACATACCAAATTTATTTTCCTAACAAGACTAACAGTCATATTTTATTGACAGACGTAGGCAAACATCTTTCATAATAATCTAAGTCATCCGATATGTGACTACCTACCTGCTCATGACAGGCATTTTACTGCATTACTAGATAAAAACAATTGCCTGAAGGTTAACAACATTTAGAGAGTGAATACTATCATTAGTTAAAAAAAAAAAAAAACTGGTTAACCTAGTCCAACAAGTATTTTCGAGGGGGGGGGGGGAGGGATCTTTACCCGTCTTTCAGGAGCTACACTCGTGAAAAACAGGAGTGTACCGTAGCCTTACCAATCACTATGTCTAGATCAGGGATGGTGAACCTTTTAGCGTTTGTGGTAAAGGTGGCAATAATCATAAACAAAATTATCTTGCCCACTGGAATTGAGCCGTAGATTATAATTTATAAATATCAATATTGTACTGTAATTCTGAGTGTTTTAAGTCAGAAGAGTTAAGAGTTGTGTTGCCTCTTATGTTTGGGAGTTGGTCACAATTCAGATAGGTTAGGGTAAGGATAAGTTAAAGTACATTAAGTAACTTGGGGTTAATGTGTACAAGGCTAGGTTGGGGGTAGGTTAGTTGAGGATGGGTTATGTTGGTATTTCGGATCTTTACGTCTTACCCAGGTGAGAAAAAATACCACCTCGTCCTCTATAATTCAAAACTTTTATTATACTATTTTTTTTTAAACATTTCATTTTTCAATTAGTCAAAAACATTAATTTCATTACTCATCACATCTTTTAAGGAAAGAACCTCAACTCTCAAAGCATGTGCACAAATTTAATTATCGTTTTCAATTCAATGAAAGCCTAACCTGAAAATCTTCAAAATATTTTGCAAACCATTTACAAAACCGGTT